AAGCATTTATACAGTTTAAAGTAATATTAAATGATGATGATTTTTGATAATCATTTTGTATAACAATTAACAAAAACTATTTAAATTCATTCCTAGAACTTTGTTTTAACATTAGATAAAATTAATTCTATTAATTACATATACTTTTCTAACAAAATTTTTGATAATTCTAAGGAAATAATGAAAATTTTACAACAAAAATTACAAGAAAAACTTTTAGGTCTATGCATTATTTATGAAATAAAAGGATCTGAAAAAAGTTTTAAAGATTACAGAGGATATTAAATACAAAGCTTTAAAGTATGAAATATTAGATCTTATTTGAGAGTTGAAAGTTTCTCAATTTTATCATAATCATTATATAAGTTATATTATAAATAGTAAAATTGAATCTGAAGGTTCATAAGGTTTAATGATAAACACTGCTAATTATTTAAATATAAGTATTTTAAAAAGAAAGCAGGATTCTATGAATGCAAAACAAATCAAAAGTAAGATTTTTTAATTTTATTTATAATGATTTAAAGATTAATCGATTAAATATAATTTTTTTATTTTTTATTTTTAAGGAATTAATAGTAAATCTGAGTTAATAATAGAAGGAATTAAGGTAAGTAATGGTAAAGGAATTAATAAAAGTAAATTTATTAAATATGTTAGATCAATAGCACACATCCTTTATATAAAAGAAAAACTAGAAAAAGAGCTGTTGATTTATGATTGAAAATGCTTCAGATGCACATGATGACTAAAGATATCTATCTTAAACCATTTTTTAATATACTTGAAAAATTGATCAATCTAAGTGGTAGAGATTTTGTGGATCATACTATCTTATAATAACAAAATGGTTTTTTCTTCTTATGTTACTTTCTTGCAAGAATTAGAAATAAAAAATTAATGCATTTAAAAAGGACATTATAATATTTATGGATTATTTCAATACCTTTAATCGAGTTATTAACATGTTATTTAACTTATAATTTATTGTAAATAGCTGACTAAAATACCTGGATACAATATAAATTTTATAAAATTTGCAAAATATTATTTTAAAAAAATATTAACTTTATAATTATTTTCTCTAAAATTATATAAATAATGTGAAGATATTTAAAACTTATTATTAGCATCATTTTTTCAAAATTTTATATATTACCTTTTTTGTAAATAGCTTATAATACTTTGGGTATAAGTATGGAAGAGTATTATATTATAAAGGTATTTTAATCAGCTATTTACGGTAGTTTTATATCAAAGAAAATCAATATGTAAAAAATATTATATTTTTGATTTATAAAGATGATATTATATAAGAACTTTTAAAATATTAAATGAATTGATAATTATTAATATTAACAATTATCATAATATCTACAATTTGCAAATACTAATATCTACTTCTATTAATACTGTTATTATATGACTACTATTCTTGCTATTCTTATACTCACAATAAATACAATTCCTAAGAATATTATTGTAGATATAAATCAATACTCTGTATATAATCTATTACTTATTAATATTAATTCTTTGATTTTCAAATAGAAAATTTATATATAAGTCTTCTTTTTCAATCATTTAATGATTAGTTTGTAAAATAATTTACATTTTCCAATATTGACATATTTAATAAACTAACTGTTTATTGCTATAACGTAAATATTCATAAAAATATAAAGATTGATAACTTAGTAATATTTTATTAGTAGATTTTATTAAGCTTAATCTACATTCAATAAAAGTATACATTAAGGTCATAGAGATATTTGCATTCTTTCAGAATTTCAGAAATATCTTTAACATAATATTATTTTATTAGTTACTGATTGGTCAGACTAAATATACTCTCAAAAAGAATTATTATATAATAACAATCAAGAATTATCAAACAGAAATTTCAGATTATATTAATTCTTTTATTTTAATTATAAAACCTTTATATGTATCTTTTAATAATCACGAAACTGTTATTTTATTATTTTTTAATATTATTAATTCTACATATAAATATATTTTTAGAACTAACAAAAAACTTGCTAACAAATTTTATCCTTAGAGAATTAATTTTCTATTACAATTAATATTAGATGCCTAGAAAAATATTGAACTATATATTAAAAAAAGAATTGAATTATTATGTTCTAGAAATATTGAAATATCTTTTACTAAAAACATTTTTAGATAATACTATTTCTTTAGTTCTTAATATTTATGTAACAATGTTTAGATCAGGAAATTGGAAAAAATATATTGAGATTTATATGAGAGTATGGTATTTATTTACTTAATTTAAACGAAAAAAATTATAACAAAGCTCTATTATTCTTTCTTTCAGATATCTAGTATTAGAAAAGTATAAATCATCTAATTTTTGAAGTTTTTAAAACCATTTAGTAGTATTTAATGATTATTCAGTGAAAAATTACCATTTATTAATTTAAAAACAAACAAAAGAAACAGATACACATGAACAGCTTTCAAGAATAGCTTATGTTATCAATTATCTTCATCATGATAATGTATTTTAAAATACATTTGTTACAATAAGAAAATATCCTTACTGTAAAGAATTTTTAATAGGATGAACTAACAAAACATATATTTTTCTTTTAAAATTATTTACAAAAGTTAAAAATAATATTGGAAAAAGCAAATGAATAAAAATTAATCAATATAATAAAAATAAGCATTCATGTCATCTTGCAACTCTTAATATAGATATAGATGAATGATATTTTCCAATGGTCTTTAGTTCAGAATACCCATCATTTGATTCATTAAAAAAATGCAATCTTCAAAATTGTTAGGTATTACAATTAATGTCTTTATCTTATATATCAATTTCTCTTTCATGTGATCATATTTATCATTAATATTGTTTATAATATCTTGAAAACAAATGTTTACATTGTTTAAAATATATCAAAATGAAATCAATAACAATACAAAGTCTATTATTTGTAAAATTACTGAAGAAAATTTTAAGGTTAAAACTAATCAAGAAAATGAAGTTCAATTAAAAGAAAATGATAATCCTGAAGAATTATCAAAGCAACCATTATTTAATTCTCAATCTATAAGTCAATTTAAAACAGCACTTGAAATGTTCATATATATATTATTTTTATTAAAATTTTAATAGTAAATTAGACCAATCAAAATTGATCTTTTATTGATAATTAGGAAATGATCGACATATAAATTGACCAATCATACAAATGTCTGCTATAAGTTACGTAATCCCAAAATTGTTAGCAAATAAGATTTCGAATAAAAATCATATGCGACTACTGCGCCCATAAATTGATTGCGTCACTGATCAGATCTGTGATCCCTATATAAAACTAAATTACTCCCGCAATTCGAAAAATCATCTTTCTTTCCTCATAACCATAAAAATGTCTATTGATGGAACGCCTATTATACTTTGGTGCTTTGTACAGGGAAGCAGTTCGATTTTCAAAGTTAATATTGGAACGAATAATGATATTGACGATCTTAAGGAAGCTATTAAGAATGATGATAATGAATTAAAAGATGAAAGAAGTACTATTGTAAATACTTTTTTTGGCATCGAAGGAAGAAATATTCGAGTTGTTATCAAAATTCCCGTTAATGGTGAGTCATAATAAATATAGTCAACGTGATATAGCGTAATTTTTTCGTCTTCTCTATCATATTCACCAATAATACCGAATACTTACTTATTCTTGTGCTTTTCTTTCCTGCTTCTTATCGTCAAACCCGCCCAAAATACACATTCGAGTTATCGTAAAGCAACCTGGTGCCACTGGTAAGTGAGTCGTAATAAATTTGTCAACGCGAGCGAACGCGAAATGATAGCCGTTGTTTCATTTTCATTTTCTATATCATAATATTGACTCTTCTATCTAGCTTCCATTAATATCTCCTAAGCGAAAGTCTGATTACGAAGAAGTTTAGCATTACGGCATGTGTTCGTTTTGTTTTTGCAAATCAGTAGCGTTTCCTAATCTTTACAGAACAAGCAAAAATGTGAAGAAGATCCGAAAATATCCTTCCCCATCATCTTTTGCTCAAATTAGCAATTTGAATGAATACCAAATTAAAGATCAGGCATTTCTTATTTATCGCCCTTCAGAATGTGTCAGCATACCATTAAAATTATATAATTCTGCTTTTTGCAATTTCCAGAAAAACTTCGAAAACAAACAACTACTTGTGGATAAAAGCTATTATCAATGGACCCTCAATTGCATTAAAACTATGGCGGATATTTATTCTAATGAAAAGTTACGTCAGCGAGAATTTCATGAAAAGATTCGTGAATTATTTCGTGAAGAAGTAAAGTTGCTTCAGCTTGATGATCAATCTTCAAATGATGGAGTTTTGGAATGAAATGTGCACGCAAAGAGCATATTATACCTTCTTATTGAAGTAAAAAATGAAATTGGCACTGGTAAATGTGATCCGACCAATCAGGCAGCCATTTCCTTTGCGAAGTTTTATACCCAGAGTAAGAATGAACAGATGCTCAAATGGTGTAACATGCCGTGTTTCATCATAGGTTTGGCTGGGCCCTGGATATGCGTATTAGGAGCTGTTTATGTTGAGAAACCACTTGTTGAGCCCCTAACAAACTTGATACCTCTCATCCCTGTCAATGATCGAGACCACTTGAAGAAAATTGCACGACTCTTCATGGCCTTGCGTCTGGGTTGCGATGAGCTGAAAAAGTATTATAGATCACTGCCATCTCCAACAACAAATGAACAACGGTTTTCCCCTACACTCGCAAAATAGAAGATTTTGAATTAGAGTACAAGGAGAAACTTGTTGATGACTCATACAAGCTTCTTTGGAAGGCCGAAACGAAAGACAAACAGATGATTATCGTTAAGTTTACGCATCGTTACAACAAAGAGGCACACGATTTGTGCTATGGAATTGGAAAGGCACCAAGGCTGTTCTATGTTTCAGATAAACAATGTGGGCTTCATATGATAGTTATGGAATTTGTTGAAGGTCAAATATTACGTGATTGTGTTCATTTGGCCCAGTCTGATTATGAAGTAATTATCAATGACATTGAAGAGGCTGTCCTTCATCTACATGGAAAGAATCTCGTTTTTGCAGACCTTCGTGACTCTAACATCTTGGTTACCAGAGATAGTGAAGGGTACCACGGGATACTGATAGATTTTGACTGGGTCGGTAGAGAGAATGTGGAATGTTATCCATTATTCATTAACCTTGATATTGCTTGGCCAACTGGAGTTGAGATAATGAACCATTGAAGAAGGAACATGATTTGTATTGGTTGAGTTGGTTGAAAAAGAAGTATTGGGTGAATGGGATTTAGTTGAAATCGAATGAATCATCTGAAATATAATATTATTTTCTTTTTTTTTTCTATATATAAAATAAGCGACTGTGAGGCATGATCTCAATTTTTTTATACACAAAATAAAGTATTCGTTAATTCGTGTTTGGTTTGGTTTTAAATTGTACACCTGTAAAATGGTCTGTAACTGTTGAGGATCGCCAACTCAAATTCTTTGTAACTTTTCGTCTTTATTTGGGTTACATAATTTATATGTTAGTACGGATAATAAATTTTAACCTTCATTATATCACTTATATAAACTAATTTTACCATTATTGTTATTTTATGAAACATTGTTGTGAGATATCTTCTTGCGTTAGTAAGAAAATTTGTAAGTTTGTTCTGAAAAAGTTTAATAGGACAGATAATATATATGCATAAATCAATCATTAGAATTAATCATTTGGAATCAATTTATTAAAAATTAATTTGTGAACCTTTTTTGATAGGAATTCGAGATATTAACGTTAAAATAATAATTTATAAGATTAAATTATATCACTAATTATTCATTAACTACTTCTTTATCTGCCATCTGACACATCTAAATTAAATATAGCTTTGTAAATAATAATAATAATAAGGAAACATAAATGAAATTATATTTACTTACTTTTTTATATTTTTGATAAGGAAAAGCGGAGGCAATTTCTATATCTTGTTCAGGAAATATCCATTCTAAGAATTTCCATACAAGATAATCTATCGCTACCAATATACAAAATATTTTACCTGCCCATACTCCGCATCCATAATACCTTCTTAATCTTTCCATTAATGGTGGAATTCTCATTTGCCATATTGTATCATAAACCTAAATTATAATATGTTAAGTTTATATTTAAACAAAAAAAAAAACAATAACAATTTTTTTTTAAACACTCACTTTTTCAGTTCGTTCAGCAACATTTACCCAACTATACATTTCTTTAATTTCATCATGAAATTTGATTGGTATAACTTCTTTAAGCCTAATCATCTCAATGGCTCTTGCTACCGCATTTACTAAATCATCTTCCTCAGGTTTAGCAAAAATTATCATGTGTTTCGGAAGTACTTCTGGCACTCCTCCAACTTTAGTGCTTACAACGAGCAATCCACAACAAGCAGCTTCAACAATTCCGATACAAAATGCTTCCGTTAAACTTGTATTTAAAAATATATGTCCTTTAGTTAAAACCTGATTGAATTATTTAATGTGTTTTCAAGTTTAATTAATATAATTAAAATGTTCCTGTTTATAAATTAAAGGTTACACGTACATTTCTCACTTCATGATGCATTACTGCACCAAGTAATTCGATACGATCATGAAGTAAATATTTCTCTCTCATTTGTTCTAAATCTATTCTCTTTGGACCATCTCCACCAATGATGAATTTAACTTTAGGATGCATTTGACATATTCTTGGAATTGCAGCTACCAACAAATCCAAGCCTTTTCTATAAACCAACCTACTTGCAACAACAATAGTAACTGATTGAAATAAAGTAACTCCATAATAAAATTATGCAAAATTTGTCAAGAATCTTTTAAACAAACTTACTGAAATTAGGATCCTGTGCACCGGGATCCGGTTTGAATTGCGAAGCAACAACGGCATTTGGTATAACTGATACCATTTGAGGATTCAATGCCGCTCTAAGCACCGTATTTTCTTTACTAAAAATCAAAAGAAAAATAAATTAATTGTCTTTTTGAAATTTAAAAATCACACATTGATAAAACTTACCTTGTATGACTAACGCAAATAACGTGATCAAGATCACTCAGAGTAAATTTCAACATTTTATTCATAAATATACTACTGGCATCAGCAAATCCAAACAAACTGTGATCAGTAAAGCAAGCCTTCATTCCCATTGTACGAGAATGTAATATTGCTTCATGACATAATGCAGAAAATGCTTGATGACCATGTACTATATCAATTTTTTCCCGTTTCACAATATTTCGAAATATTGGGAAAAAGCCATAAAATGTTGGCATTGATGCCTCGGAATATAATATCACATGTGGTACATAATATACTTTTAATCCATTAGTAAGATATCGAACTCCGGTTCGATTTCCATAAGAATGAGTGATTATTATAACTTTGTGTTCGCGTTGAATTAATCTTTGTGATAATTGATATAAATGACTTTCCACCCCTCCCATGTTTGGGTAAAAGAAATCTGACACCATTCTAAATAAAAAAAAAAAGATTGCATAATATAGAAGGGTTCAATTAATAATAAATTAATTTAAAAATACTAACGCAATATTATATGGCATTTTTTTTGAAGATATAAAAAATGAATTCTGAATCATTGAAATAAATCTGTGCCATGTTACGCCGATCATGAGGAGTACCTTATTTATCATCATATCTTACCATAATAAAAAAAAATATCACTTCCACAGCAAGGCAAGCTCCCATAGCTCAGTTGGCTAGAGCGTCGTGCTAATAGGATCCATCTGTTCTATACGCGAAGGTCGCAAGTTCAAGCCTTGCTGGGAGCATAAGAAGTAATTCTTTTTTTTTTGGATCTCAAGAAAACTGCGGTTAATTAAAGATCATCTTTACATTCATGTGATTTTACACATAAATATAGATTTTGTAATAAAAATTATTTCCTCCTCTTTATCGGATTATCGTAAAATTTCTTCACGATGGTAAGCCAGTCATCTATTATTTATTTATTTTAACCGATTTATTTGAAAGGTTTTGTTAAAACTGAATGGGATATTTAAAGATGATAGTTATTTAATTTAACATGGAAGAAAGCGAAAAAAATCAAAAAAAAAAAATTTTTTTTCTTTTAAGATTTTTTCGTTTGAACTCTCCTTTTTTTGACTTTTCTTATTTTTTTTAATACCGTTCATTTTACATTTTATAGCCGAAACAAATCAGTGATATTAAATACTTTCTCGAAATCGCCCGTAGAAAGGACGCCAAATGTAATTATAATTTATCATTTAGTATCTTTATCTTATATCGGATTAACAAATAAATTAATAAAAAAAAATTTTTTTTATAGCTGTTCGTATTAAGAAAATTAAGAAGAATACTACATCAAAAATAAAGTTCAAGCTTAGATGTTCCAAATATCTTTACACTTTTGTCATCGAAGATGCAGAAAAAGCAGAAAAACTTCAAAAATCTCTTCCTCCAGGTTGAAACATTTTTTTTTTTTATTGATACTATTGATTTGTCTTTTTTTTTTTAATTTAATTTAATTTTAACTTGTAACGAATTTTTAGGTCTTAATGTCACTGATGTTGCTAATATAAAATGAAATTTATTGTAACTAATATCCGATTAGTAAAAGATTATGGATGATATTTCTCTCATATGAAATAATATTTTAAATAAAGACACTAATGTTGTGTTAGAGTATCTCTTTAATTCTTATCTAATGAGAGATTTTACCTTTTTATTGTACAATCAAGAAATAAAACAATTAAGAAATAAAACAATTTTTTACCACATTAAATATGAAATACATAAAATCGAATATTTTTGAAATGCTAGTTTATAATGATGATATAAATACCGCCTATATAAGAACGCGAATAACGATTCACGTGATTTCGTACAAATTAAGTTAAAAAACGCGTGAAACTCATTCCAGATATTAGAAATTACCTCAACACGACAAACATACAACACTCGATTATTATTTGTGTATAGGTAAGTAGAACAAAATGGCAAGACAACCACATACAGTCTCTCCGGCAGCCAGGGTGACTCAGCGTAGATTGGCAACGGTAAAAAAGTTGTCTAGACCTTTAGCTTCAAGCAGTGGCAGTAAAAAGCCTCCTGTGAGAAGATCTAGACGTAAGTTCTAGTTCTCTCTCTCTCTCTTTTTTTTTTTTTTTTTATTTTTTTTTATATATAACTTAATATTGTTTCTTTCTTTCTAGCTAATTAAAAAATTTTTTATTTTTGCTTAGCCGGGGATCCGATCAGGCCGCAAAAACCGAAAAGATACAGACCTGGAACTGTTGCTTTACGCGAAATCAGACATTATCAAAAGACTACTAATCTATTACTCAGGAAATTACCTTTTTCACGGGTTGTACGTATAAGAACAAGTTTCAAAAACTATTTATGAAGTTTATCTAATGTTACCGCCTTTTCATTTAGGTTCGAGAAATTGCAATTGACATTTTAGGACCACAATCATCGGTCAGTTCATCTGTCGGTTATAGATGGCAATCTGCAGCCATTTTAGCACTTCAAGAAGGTAAATAACTTATGTTTTGCATATCTTTTGCTCGAGAACGCGCGCTAAATAAATAATTTTATTCTTTAGCTACTGAAGCTTATTTGATTCATCTATTTGAGGACGCGTACGCATGCATTAATTGATAATTTTTTTTTTCTTTTTGAAACTTATCTTTGAAATAAATCAACAATTTTTTTTTTTTTTTTTAGCAACCTATGCGCGATTCATGCAAAAAGAGTCACAATAATGCAGAAGGATATTCAACTGGCGCGAAGAATACGTGGTGTTTGGGGAGGACTCGGATAAAACAAAAAAAAAGAAAAAAGATATTGTAATTGTAAATCGTAATTGCATGAACTTATGGTAATGGAAAAAATAATATCATCTTTAAAGGATTGGTTTTAATAATACCCTGGAAGCACTTACAGAACATAAATCTTTTATAATTTTCTTAGATTATCATTTTCACTCATTTTCATTTTCATTTCTAAATTTTAAATTTTTTTTTTTTTAGGTAAATTGTAAATAAAGAAAGTTATAATTGAGCTCAAGCAAAAAAAAAGTAGATAATAATAAATTATCAAGCTAATTTCTAGATTATTTCTTGCTCATTCTTATTTAATGAAGCAATTGTATTCACAAACTCGTCCATGCCATCTGAAGTTTTATTAGGTGTAGTACTACTGGTCTCAAATATATCATTCTTTTGCTGTATATTACGATGGCTTTGTTGTTGTTTTTTAGGATTCATAACGAAACCCACGTCATTTAAAAAACCGTAAAGTGTTTCGGATAATCCATAACCAAATCCTTCCATCTCTTCCAAAGCTAATCTAGCCCTTGCATCCCCATTCGATACACATTTTTTTATAATATTTTCATAAACATCTTGTGATGGTAATATATTCTTTGATTTCATTTCTTCAAGATAAGTGAATGCTTCTTCATAATCATCTTGAGTACAAATTGTTTTAATCATACGGCAATACGTTAAACCAATTGGAACTATTTTTAATTCATGCATTTCTTGCCATAATTGATCAGCCACATCTTTTTGCTTTGCAAAACAACATATGAGTAAAAGAATATTAAATGTTTCCGTATTGGGTTTAACACCTAATTTTTCAGCCGCCTTATAAGTTTCAAATGCACGAACCAAGTCAATATTTCTTTTGGATTTTCCACCAACATTTGAACAAGCTGCAATAATAACATTAAGAGCGGTTGGATCGATAACCTTTCCCTCATTATGTAATTCCTCCAAACAGTAATATGCATGATCAATAGATTCCGCACTCTTTCGAATATGTAAGAATATTTCGTTCGCATCAAACAAACTAATTAGGAGTCCCGACTTTCGCATTATATGTAATGATTCCATTGCTTTCTTAATTTCTTTAGCTTTAATGTAAGATTGTAAGAGCGGAAGGAAATGCCATTTTTGAAGTTTTACTTTTCGAACATTCATTAAATATTCCATTATTTGTAAGATTAAATCAGCTTTTCCATTATTTCCAGCAAAGTATAACATATCGATGCATGCACCTTCATCGAGATCTATTTTACCACGACGTTGAAGTGTTTCCCAACAATATTGAACACCGTTAGCCTATGACAAATTTTATGCATAAAAATGTTAAATTGATGATTTCAAGGAATGACATTATAATTATTATACAGAATAAATACATTAGTTACTCACGTCATATTCATATGCACAGAATCTTAAGATATCATTATATAAAGATTCCGGAACATAAATTAATTGATCATTTTCTAGATTTTTCAAATACTTTAATACTAATCCTGGTTCATTTATTGAAATTGCTTTCCTTATAATCGCGATATGCATTTCCAAACTTTTTATCGTTAAAGAATCAAACAAATCAAATGCACGTTCATACTCTTCTCCGGCCAATAATGATTCTATATAATACTCATTAGTTTTCATTGTAGGTTGAAGACCATCTTTAGTAATCATTTCTAAAATTTGTTCTCTTAAGTATGGAACTTGTTCAATAGAAGGTGCCTGTGCGCATGTCTTTAAAAAAAAAAGTTGATTAATAAATTTTAAAGGAATTTCTTTTTTTTTTATTTTGTTTTACTAAATTTTTATTTATTAATATACCCTCAATAACCAATTATAAGTCACTATATTTGGTTTAACATTAGCCAGTCTCATATCTTCTAATATCTTCATAGAATTTCTAATCGAACCCAAAGGTATATAAGAATGAAGTATTGTATTATATATATTTAAATCAGGTTTGCGATTTGATTTTTTAATATCTTCACATAAGCCATAAATTGAATTCCAATTTTTTTCTTTTGAAAATTCGTCCATATCATCTGTAAATTTCTTTAGGAACAATTTTGTTCTAAGCTCTTCAGCATTTGAATAAGTGTTTGTATTAACTTCAGTATTCATTACTATAAACGCATGATATTACGCGTAAATGAAAAGATAAATTAATAAAAGGAATGTTTCTTTTGACAAAAAAAAACGTTGGATATATTTCTTTGAAGGCTCAACAGTTAAAAATATAACTTGCCAGTAAACAAGCGTACTGAAGACCCTCGAGTTAACCTCTGTGTTTGCAAAAAAGTAGTACTAAACCTTGTAAATACATTATTTTTTTGTAAGGGCAAATGTCTTCTTAAAGAGTTTCCCAACATTATTAAATATTTTTCAAGAATTATATGAACTTCTTTTTTTAAAAGGAAGGAAAAAAAAAAATGGATATAGAAAAAGATTATCACGAAAAATTTTGAATCGCTGATTACATGTTGGTTAAACGACCGATCGGTCCGTCACGTGGTCATTAATGATCCGGAAATCAAAATTTTATTGTTTTATGTCGTCTAAAGTGTTATATTTTGGGGGTGTTACATTTCGCTAATAATTAAAAGTTTTTTTTTTTTTGGACGCGAAAGGATTCAAAAATAGAAATACAGCCATTCGATGGGTTCGTAAATAATTTTTTGGTTTTAGAATTGGTCTAAAGATCGGTCTAAAAGTCGATCATCAAGATCGCAGATCGCCATAAATACCGGATCCTTAAAAACATATAGCAGCATTTTTAAAGTTTTTGAATTCACGTTTTTAGTTATGTCGTCGTTATGTCAACTTCAAAGCTTATGAAAAATAAAATTCTCGTATTAGGACGCCGAGGGGCAGGAAAATTATCTATTATAAAACGTATATAATGAATTTGTCCCTTTTATATATATACACATATTTTTTTAAAGAAAAAATTGATTAATTAATTTATTTTTTTTTATTGTGGGTTAACAGAAATATTATCAATTACAAATCAATTAAATAATGATCTCAATATACAAGATAAAAATCATTCAGGAATAAAAATACCATGGAACATTGAAACAAAATATTATAATGCAAGAGTAGATTTTTGGATTGATGAAACCGTACAGAAAGATCATGTAAATAAAGAGGTGATAAAAGGGTACGAAAATGAAAAAAATGGTATTGGAAGAGTTGTTGACGCTATACTTTTTATATTTAAGAAAGATGAGGTACACATTTCAAAGATCAAATTCAATCTCTTATTATTTTTGACGATGTATTTAAAAAATTCTTTTTTTTTTTTTTTTTTTTTGTTTTCTTTTTGGAATAATTTAGCCAACAACATTTGATGATATAAAAGCTTTTATACCTTTCATACAGCGATATGAACCTGCTATAACATTGGCTGTTGGAACTGGAAAATGTGTTCAAAATATTGATTATGAAGATTGGTGCTTAGAGAATGGATTTGAATACGTTGATATGGAAGTTACCAATAAAGAACATATGGATGGTAAATTTATACTTTGTTCCGTCACTCGCTTAATACTCCGTGATTTGCATGGGCTTATTTTTTTTTTTTTCTTTCTTTTGATAATGTAGAACGCGTCGGTTTGGAACGAGTTCTTGAAGCCCTTCAATCTAACATGTGGGAAGGATTGATTCGCGTTACACAAAACGCTAATAAACCTTCCGATTTAGAGAATGATGATTATCATAACGAGCTAATCGAAGGTAATTTTTTAATGTATTGATCATTCTTATAATCCCTCCTAATTAACCGAAACCTTCACTTTCATAATAGCTATTTCACAAACGAATCTGAGTAATGCGGATGAGGAGCTGGAACCTCCGTCATCTCAATTGCATGATCATAATTCGGCCCCATTTGATGATGATGCTGAATTTTTTGGTGATGGTGAATGTGATTACTATAAATTCTCACATTTGATACAACTGAATATTAAATTTTTGAATTTTCACGTTACTCATATTATTTAGCGCTACCTTCTCAGCAAGAAATCGAAAATATGCATCGCAAACTTTTTAGTGATTTTGATGATGAGGATGGACTTGATAAAGTATTTACACGATTAAGTAATTTACGAGGTAAGATCGTAAGTTGTTAGGTATTAAATTTACAAAATTCCTAGCGTTTTACCAACAATCATTATCTATCCAGAAAAAGGTAAAACGTTATCGGATGCAGAGAGACGGAAATTAGCAGCAAACGTGGCTTGTTCTTTTGCGATGCATATGGGGAATTAATTTAATTTAATTATTTATATTAATTTAATTTTTTTTAAAAAAAAAAATAACAACTTGGTACAAAATGTTAAAATTTTATTAAATTACTAAAAATAAAATAAATTTATAAATTTATTTTCATGAAAGTAATTCAATATTAACACTTTTTAAAGCGTTAACTGCCCAAATGGGATACTTGTCTTTACCACCAAATAATTCCTTAAAAAATTTTTGTACAAAAGAGGGAAATTCATCATTTATAATAGCTTTTCTAATATTATTCATTAGTCTTAACTGATATGATACATTATGTATCGTTATTAAATGACATCCAACCGTTTCTCTCGTTGCATGCATATGGATGTATGCTCTTGTGTATGTTTTACATGTTAAACAATTACAACCCTTTTCAATTGGCTCAAAATCTTGCGCAAATTTTGTTGATTTTAAATTTAATGATCCTTTTGGCGTCAATGCATTACCAAATCTCTAGTGATTAAAGTTATTGTTAATATATTTTGAGGAAGGAACAAAGAAAAGCGTTCTATGACCTACAGCAGTACGCGTTGGAAACACGCAATCGTACATGTCTACCCCTAAAGCCGAACAAACCACGAGATCTTCAGCGTATCCGACACCCATACAATATATTGGCTTATTCTTTGGTAACTTGTCAGTACAAAAATTTACTCTTTTTTTTTTTAAAAAAAAAAAAAAAAATTTAATAACGTTATGTTATATATAATATTCAATAAAAATTTCATTAATTACATTCTCCAAAAAATATCTTTCTCTTCACCTCCACTTAATCCTCCAATCGCGTATCCAGGTGTATCGCGTTTAATCATTTCTTTAAACAAAAGATATTTAAGTATCATTTTATATTCATCTTTACAAAAAAAAATATGATTAAACCGCATATCGCGGGCTATAGATAGTAACCCTTTCTAAAGTTTTTTCGAATACCCACTATACTATGGCCAGCGAAATACGGTAATAGAAATAATAAGATTTTTTTTATTTCTTTTCTTTTAAAAGTTACCTTCAATACATTTGGTTCTTAAGTCCATATTTAATCCACCTTGAATAATAGCAAATAAATTTTGTGATTCGGGTTTTTTATGAGCGTTGATGCATCTATCTAACCATCTGATAGATCTATACATTGCTTCTTCAACTCTCGGACCCGTAGTAAGTGATGACACGACATCGTCTAATTGCATAATGATATCTGCACCGATTGAATTTTGTAACGACATTGAATGCTCAGGAGTAAGCAACATCGTAGATCCATCATGTGGTGATTGAAATTCTACACCTTCTTCTGTTATTCTTGCAAGTTTCAATAATGATACCATTTGAAATCCTCCACTATCCTATTGAAGCAAAAAAAAAAAATAATTAATTTAACTAAAAATCTTAATGAATCAAATTACTTACGGTTAATAAATTCCTATTCCAATTTTGAAATTTATGTGATCCGCCTAATTCTTCAATCAATTCTTGTCCGGGTTTTAACCCCTAATATAAAACGATAAAATTTTTTTAAAAAAAAAATGAAGATAAAGAACCAAAATAAATCGAAACAATAATAACTTTACCAAATGATATGTATTATTTAACATTATTTGACAGCCTAGTTCTTCTAATTGTTTTGTTGTCAGGCCTTTTAATGTTCCTTGAGTTCCAACCGGCATAAATACTGGAGTATCAACGGGGCCATGCGGTAAGGTTAAAATTCCTACTCTTGCTTTTGTTGTTGAACATCTTGCGATAACTTTCAAGGTTAATGCAGACCTCATTTGTTTGTTTTCTAACAGGTTACGAAGTTATAAGAACCTGTTATCATCCAATCATACTTCACTGATTTCACCAACCAATAAAACAATCAAACAAATTGATGTGGCTTTTTTTTCCACGCCCTCGATTTTCTTTATACTTTCCTTTTTATATTAATAATTATATTACTAAATGTAGAAGGAGTACTAATTCACTTTTGAATTGTCCTATCTGATCTATTACCTTGTGCTTTATCTTTTCTATTAACTCTCTTTAGGTCAAATATTGGTAATGTAGCTTAAATGTAATTTTTCATTTGGATATTAATTTGGCACAACCATTAAATTTTGTCGAATTTCCGGTTTACATGAATAAAATATTTATTCACAAACTGATTGGGATTACTAAATAAACGATTATCTAAAATTTAATTCACCTTATTGATGCGTTACTTTGATTCTGCAACTTTTATATGTATAAGGAGTCTGGGGAGCGTATCAATTTAGCGAATTTTAAAACCTACCTCTTTTTTTTTTTTTTTCAGAAAAAAAAAAAAAACCTAGAATAAATTTATTTCTTAAAGATCTAATCCGTTTGACTAAAGATGTAAATAGGGAAATTCAATCTTGATTTATAAATTTATGAAAAACAATCCAACTCACGGAATATTATTTTATTAATTACAATAAACCAAATACTATTTAAATTAATTAAATTATTTAAATAATTTTACCTTACAATAAAAATACAAATAATTTATACAACTAACGTTCTTATGCTAATGTCATCCATTTCCTTCCACCTGCGACTGTATCTCCTAATCCAATATTGATATTAAGCCCCATAGCAGCCAATCTAGCTCTTGCTTTTTCATTAAAATTTCTTTCCCCAGCACCAATTTCAACTGTTGCTCCTAATAATGTATCAATTCCAGCCGACTTAAAATCTGTACGAGCTTGAAGGTAGGGAAAAAGATATTTGACATCTATTTTAGCAAGATAACCTTCATTAAGTACAGATTTAAGGATTTCTGGTTTAACAATGAAAAGATTTCCTAATTGACGCAACATCTCAAAGCGATCGTCGAGTTGGGAAATTTTAAACAATGTAATTGTTTCTTGATACTTTGTTATATCCCTAATTTGAAAAAAAATTTTTTTTTTTTTGATGTTATTTAAACGTCAAAAATTTTATTCCTTCGCACATTTGAAAATAGTCCTTACTTTGTTAGAACCAAACCTCCTGCTGCACTCACTGCGAATTTTTTGAAATGCTCCAAGAGCATACTATCGAAACAAATTCACAATCAGTTAAGAACGAATAACAAGAACACAAGTTAACATAATTGTGTATATATTACCTGTGAAATGCTACACCAATTTCAATCAAAACATATTCCAGATTTTTTCCATCAAGACACTGACTAATTGATGAATGTACTTTCTTCAAATATTCAACACAATTGTTACAAGGCTATAACAAAAATATATTAATTCTTTAATTAAAGAACAAAAAAGTAAAGGAAAAAACTTTTCTTTTCTTTTGATTCGATAATATATACAACACACCATTGTCGCCAAACTAGCGATTATATCATCTTCATCTTTTGGCTTGAATTCTACTTTCTTCTGTCGTGATAATAGGTAACTTAACCTTGCAATAATGACTATATAATAAATTCATGATTAAAGTTGATTCTTGTAAAGTTCACGGCCTAGATCAAAATATAATTACCGTCGATCATCTTTTGTATAGCCGAATTTATTTTATTTTCCACACCCATCATAAATCTATTTTTATCCGAAGTAAGGTCTCGGTGTATAGTCAACGATGGAGAAGCCAAAGGAAGCTATATAACAAACAGGCATTAATATAATAAATATACGTAAATAATATAAAATAATAATTAATTTCTTACAATTGCTGTTTGAAAATGATTTTGGGCAAGATATATAACGTCTTTTGCGAGCTTTACCACTGTCAAGGGTTTAAAATCAGGATCAGACTTTGAATCCATAGCGACGATCTGATCTAAAGACCTATAAAATGAATAAAATAAAGAATTAGAGTTGAAATTGACATTTATAAAACTCAACGCAGAAATTATTTACGTGTCTAAGGCGATGTCCAAATATTGTTTGCCAATACTGTCCAACAAAACTTGGAACAGTGTACTAGTAAACTTGGGTCTGTGGAAATAAAATAAAAAAATCGGTTATAATTGTTAATACCATTTACAATTTTAATATAAAAGATAGAAAAAATCATAAATATCAACATACAATTCAGTAGGAGGACTAAGTTTAACTGAACGTCTTATGGCTTCAGCGTGGATTTTAAATATTAGCATGGCTGTATTTATGGATAAATTTCCATCCTCTTCTGTGGTCATCATATCAGTAATATCTCTCCCGCCATAGTTATTAGGCAAGGAAGATGATGTTATTTGATTTACAGCACGCTGAAACAAGCTTCCTGCATGCGCTTTAATTTGTTGAATCTAATAAAATACAATTGAATACATATAAATATATTTTTTAAAGTAACAATATAATTTAACAACGAATTTATTACACCTACATGATAAGCATTGAATTGCAATAGCAAGGATGAATATAATTCACTTAAGGATTTCTTCTCTTTTTCAATGTAACGGTCACCCTCAGTATACGGAACGAACAAATCCTCAATGCATTGATCCAATAATTCTGCAACCGTATTACTTTTACGAGAACCTTCCTCAACTACATCTGAGGGAATTATGTTAGAATCCCCTTTTTGCCTCATATCAAGACTTTTCATGTCTTCAACTAATTCTATTGTAGCAGTTCGAACTGCTGCCAAAGAACGTAGGTAAGCTAGCGTAGAATCATTTTCTGCATGCGTCAAAAGACTTTCCAAGTAAGTTTGAATCTGTTTAAGAAGTAATTAGATGATATATATATCTAAAATATTTAAATACACGTTCATTACATACCAATTGAGCGAATATACGCTGCAAAAATACTTGCATAACATTAACAGGATTTGGAAAAACGACATTTATAATTTCTGCTTCTTGCTTGACTGTTGTTCTAATCTCCTTATAAAGCTCGACAAGTCCTTGGTCGACCGGTGGTGGCGATACTTCAGGGTTTGGTAAATCAGTCCAACTTCCAAGATGCAAAACTATAGTTTCATTAAATTGGTCGAGATTATGTCAAAATCATTATTAATTTAATAATAATCAAAAAAAAATACCTTGAACTTGTCAAAAATCCATTTGCTTGACTCAAATTTATTTTTGTAATAAAAAACTCGTGTTGATTGACATATAATTTGATACAAGATTCACAACCGTTAAATTCTTGAAGTGTTCTTGCACAATGCTAAAAAAAGGATCATGATTATTGAGAAGACGCAATTCATAATCGGATTGATAACAACCATAACGTACAAACCTGCATAACTTTAACATCCTTTCGTCTATATGCTTTATCAAATTGTTCAAGCAATTCTTTCTCCAAATCCTCACAATATTTCTCAATGCGAGATCTAGCCTAACATTTAGTAAATAATAGACAGGTAAATTACGCTATTAAAATAATCATAAACAATGATTTATCGTCAACACTCACAAATTCACCTCCAGGAATATCTACTTCTTTTGCAATAGCATTCAATCTTCTTGCTATAATTGCAGCCTATCGCCCAACATAACATTTTAGAACTTATCAATGATTATAATTCATTCGATAAAAAAACCTTACTTTAAACTGGCCTTCCTTTCCTCCTCGAGTTCGCAAATCCTCTAATTGTGAAATATCGCCTCTGTTAAATTCCATGAAATATTCGATCAATTCTTTAGATTCAGAGGCGCGCAACCTCTGCCTATCAATCGTCTCTAGTTGTTCCCCTTGAATAATAAATCAATATATTAGGTTGTTATCGATTACATTATAATTACCAAGTATATCCGTTGTATCATAAAATATTAATAGTACCAATTCTGATTGCAGTGTTGCCCACTTCATTAATTCTTGTTTCCAAAGTTTCAAATGAGTGAACAACATCCTATAATCAAATCATCTGTTAATTTACTATACAATCTTAATACATATTTAGCCCACAAACAAAATAATATACTTCAAAGGTAGTCTTCAGCTCGACTAATTTTTTTCGATGGCCGGATTCAATGAGCTGCATACTTGTTTCCAAGTCTTTACTCTCTTTATTAACTGAATCTCGAAGTTTCAAAAGTTCATCAATGGATCTTTCAAACGTTCTTATAAATGGTTTAGGATCAAAAGCTAATAAAAGAAAATAATCTAAATAACACAAAGATACTCAACACCAAAAGTTTAGAAATAAACAAACCTCTTGGATTGGCTTGTTTCAACAGGTTTTTTGACGTGTTTTCAACAAATTCTTTGGTAGTGAAATTTCCTTGCTATCATTGAACCGAGCATATAACTTAATAACACGTGAAACTTCAAAAAATAATTCGGAAATGGAGTAATCTAAATTTGAAATTTGTACCTGAAAAGTTTCAATTTTCAAGATTGCTTGAACCTCGGGATCTAGATCGTACGGATTTGCGGGCATATTGATAATATTAAGGTTTTCTCTGCGTTGTAAATAAGCTAAAACGATGGGTCCGTCAAAGTTGTTAGTGAATTTGATGAAAATTCGCAACAAAACTTTAATGCAATCCGTTCTATCGCGAACGTTGTCGATTCTTCATTTACTGCGGAACGATTTTACGGAATTCAAAGTGCATGGTGCATAATCCAATTAAATTTTTTCCGAAGTTAATTCCATAACGGAACAAATCGGATTGATAAAGAATTCGGAGCAATTTGAATAAGTTATTATCGAATTTTACACAGTTGAAATTCATCCATTCCCCTCAGACCCTCCGCCGCCACTCTTCGACGACAATAAAAAAAATTTTTTCTTTGTATAAAGAAATACTCAAAATTTTTTTAAAATAAAACCAAAATAAGGTGATGAATATATTCTAACGATTTCTTGCTAAAATAAATTTTTATAAAAAATCATTACGACTTTTTTTCTCCAAACTTAGTTTGAAACGAATATAAAAAACCCATTTCCCCAATAATAACTTAACAAAGAAAAATAAGTAAACTTAAAAAGTAAAAACCCTTCTGTAATATAATAAAGAAAAATAAATAAATAACCGAATAATACACCATCTGAAATAGTTCACTCATCATACCCTAAGAATTTTCTTAATTCCTCTTCCGTACCTATACTCCAGGGTCCTCTGTTGGCTCCCTTACTACACATTTTTGAGGTAAATTTTGTGAAGTTGCTCACATTAAGCAACTTGGCAACTAAGAATTTTTTTTTTCTTCATGTTTTCTAACTAGAATGCGTCTTTGTTACTAAAATGGTCTTCCTTTTTTTTTTTTATGTATTTCAAAAACCACTGCGTTTTTATCTATATTCTTCCGTTCACCTTTTCTCTCGGGCATTATTCGGCTATCTATTAATCAAATTAAAGTAGTCCTTCCTTCCCTAATTTCTCTTGCGTGATTCTTGGCAAAAAGGTAAAAAATAAATTTATTAAAACAATATGAATCAATCTTAACTCACCGGTGGACCTTAACAATTTTTTTTTCTTTGCTTTTTTTGTTTCTTTTTTTTTTTTCTTTTTTCTTTTATCGTTAACAGGAATTCTAGGAATTCTAACTAATTGCGTAGCGCATCGTTTATGCTTGCTCACTTATGCCAAGTATACCTAGAAAGATCTTGTATAGATCCTCAATAGATCATTATATAGAAAATATATTATCATTATTATATTATATATCCGTAGTTTAGTCATTTAGTATTTTATCCAATTTGCAAAATTAAGACAATATATAAAAATTATTTATTGACATTTGCGCAATACAATAATATATTTACATCTATCTTTATTTACCTTATTTTAGTTTATTGATCAATTTATTTTTTTTCTCGATTCTCTGAATACCCGTAATATTGAAATAATATAATGGCAGTTCATCCCATTTCACAAACCGCGGCACATTTTTTACACCGATCGAAAAAGTTGGTGTCTAAACTAAACAAGAGGTACACCTTTGGGAGTAGCAGCAACGGTAGCGGTAGCGGTAGTAGTAGCAATAGTAAAACTTGTCAACAAGATCAAGACGCTCAGTATCTTTATAGGCAGGGTGAAACATATCTATTTGGACGTGCTGGGGAACCTAAAGATGAAAAGAAAGCTTTCGAATTTTTCCAACGTGCTGCCTCGTTAAAACATCCGGAATCTCAAGGGGTAATGGCATTCTGTTATGAATTTGGTTTGGGAATTGAAAAGGACTTTAAACAAGCCGAATTACATTACATCCCTGCTGCCGAACTTGGGAATGGTTTGGCGCAAGCTAGGCTTGCATTTTTAAGGAAATATGGACGTCCTTCGGTCCATATTGACCGTGCAGAAGCAGAAATGTGGCAGCAAAAAGTTAAAGACCAAGGAAAAACGGCCATCGCTTGGCTATTTTACGCAGCATGTAAAGAAAATCATCCCGCTGCCCAGTATTCATTAGGAGTATGTTACCATGATGGTGTGGGTGTAGAAAAAAACGAATCAGAAGCTTTTAAATGGTACAAAAAGTCAGCAGAACAGGGTCACCCACGTGGTCAAGGAATTTTAGGATTTTGTTACGGTGAAGGGTTTGGAGTACAGAAAGATGAGGTTGAAGCAATGAAATGGTATCGAAAGGCAGCAGAACAAGGCGAATCTGTCGCGATTTACAATGTTGGATACTGTTACGAAGACGGAATCGGGGTGGAAAAGGATGTAGTCGAAGCTGTTAAATGGTATCGTTTATCTGCTGAACAGGGAAATGCTTTTGCTCAAAATTCTTTGGGTTATTGTTACGAAGATGGAATTGGTGTAGATCAAGATCCCGTAGAAGCTGCCAAATGGTATCGTAAATCGGCAGAACAAGGTTATCCATGGGCCGAATGTAATCTCGGGTATTGTTATCAGAATGGCATTGGTGTTCTCAAGGATGATGTTGAAGGCGCCTTTTGGTACAAAAAAGCAGCTCTTCAGGGACATGCTCGTGCCCAACATAATCTTGGTTTCTGTTATCAAAATGGGATCGGTGTACCAAAAGATGAAACTGAAGCAGTAAATTGGTACACAAAATCAGCTGAACGTGGCAACATCTTTGCTTATCATTCGCTTGGATATTGTTATCAAAATGGTATCGGTGTTGCTGTTAATGAAAGTGATGCAGTATATTGGTACTTTTTATCTGCCGAAGAAAGTCATGCACCGGCCCAATTAAGCCTTGGATATTGTTTCCGTAATGGAATTGGAGTAGAAAAAGACGAACAAGAGGCCGTCAAATGGTTTACTTTTGCAGCACAACAAGGTAACGCATTGGCTCAGAATTCTTTAGGGTATTGCTATGAAGAGGGTCTCGGCGTTGAGAAGGATGAAACGAAAGCCGTGTATTGGTATCAACTTTCTGCCAACGCGCATAACCCATGGGCACAATGTAATTTGGGATTCTGTTACGCAAACGGTATCGGAGTTGAAAAGGATGAGGTTAAGGCAGTTTGTTGGTATCGTGCAGCAGCTGCACAAAATCACGCAAGAGCTCAAGATAAGCTTGGTGTGTGTCTTCAATTAGGCATCGGATGTGAAAAAGATGAAGAAACTGCATTTCAAAACTTCCTAAAGGCTGCTGAACAAGATCACCTTACAGCCATGTATCATCTTGCTAATGCTCTTGAGAAAGGAATTGGTTGCGATGCTAATCTTGAAGGGGCAACACATTGGTTTGAAAGAGCAGCAAGCTCAGGTTGTAGAACGAGTTGTGAAAGGTTGAAGAGATTATTAGTTAAAGAATGTTTAGGTCAGGAAGCAAGTGGGAATATTTATTTATCTGGGTATTATGCCGCCGCTGCCTAAAGAGGGAGGGGAAAATTGTATTAAAAAACTTTCCTTTTTTATTTTCCTTTTTTGTAAAAAAATATCGTTCATTTTAAAAAAAAATTTTAAGTCAGCAATTCAGATTCTTTTTTCCGATATCGTTTACATAGTAGAAAAATTTTTTCTCTTGATCTGGGAGTTTTTAAAGAAATGAATATGCTGATCTCTTGTATATTTTAGTGTCTAAAAATGGTTTGATGTGATGTGATTATTATTATTATTATTATTATTATTCGTTTTTGTTTTTTCCTTTTTTTTTTTTTAAAAAAAAAAAAAAAAAAAAAAAAAAAAAAAAACTAGGTACCATTATTATTTTATTATTAATTATTGAAAAAGATCTTTGTACTAATCAAAAAAAGTATCTATTAAATAAATTCGTAAATAATCTAACCAAACTTGAATATTTATCTTTTTTATTTTGTAAAATAAGTAAAAAAATAAATTGTATTTAAATAATTTGTATTCTAAAAACAACAATAAAATAAATATGTGTATACGTTTTTGTATAAACTTTGTTTTGTTTTAAACAAGTTTAAACAAGTTTATATCATTCATTATAATCCGGATTTCCGGGCTAAATTCCACGGGAATTTCTACCAATTCTACCTGCATAGAGATCGACGAACCCATCTATAAATTTTAGGTTACAAGTTACCTAATTTTGTGTATGAACATTTCTTTCGAAGTTGAATTCTTTATTTATTTATTTTTATACATTCCTTCATTCCTTTGAAATATTTATATAAACCCTTCACTCTTTTTCTTTACTTTCTTTTTTACTTTTTTTTTTTTACCTCCATTAAAAATGAGTACCTCTATTGCTTTTAAACAACAACAACAAGACCCAAAGTCAGGTCATGTTGGTACATTGACTAAAGAACAATTTGCATTATTACGTAAATGTTATGCCGCTATGTATGCTATACAAAGCGCAAACGATGGTGAAACTTCCCGTCTTCGAAATGATGAATCAAAAAATAAACCAAAAAATGGTATAAAATTAAATAATGATAAATATAATGAATCCGAGGAATGCATGTCTGCTATGAAAATTTATAGTCCGGAAGCTTTACGTCAAGCTACTTGGTTATTAACTGGCGCTGACGACCCCGACGTTTTATTACTACGTTTCCTTAGAGCAAGAAAATGGGATGTTGACAATGCTATAGCCATGTTAATTGCCACCTTAAAATGGCGATTACAATTTGATGTTAGAGCAATTGTTGAAGATGGTGAATTAGGTATGGAAAGGTATTTTGATGGTAAAGGTGTTAAAGGATTAAAAACTCAATTTACCTGTGGCAAAAGTTTTGTTAGAGGGACTGATTATGAAGGTAGACCAATAGTGTAGGTACCATTTTTTTTTTTTTTTTTATGTAGAAGTATCACCAAAGGAAAAAAAAAGATACATATATGCTAATCATGAACACTACCTACCACAGTTACATAAATGTTAAAGCTCATAAGAAATCCGATCAAAATTTTGAGATTCTTCAGAGGTTTACGGTTTATGTAATGGAGACCGTTCGTCTGATGATCGAACCTCCAGTTGAAACGGGTTGTCTCGTCTTTAATATGGAAGGATTCAGTTTAGCTAATATGGTAAGATCAAAGTTCAAATTCATAAAGGGCATTCATTGATTCGATTCAAATAATTTACCAAGGGGAATTCTTTTTTTGTCTTGTTAGGACTTACAATATGTCAAATTCATGATTCAATGTTTTGAGGCCTATTATCCGGAGAGCTTGGGAATATTGATTATCCATAAAGCCCCGTGGGTTTTTCCTCAAGTTTGGAAAGTCATATCACCATTACTTGATCCGGTCGTGGCATCAAAAATTACATTTACTAAAACTGAACAAGAACTTATGAATTTAATACCCCCAGAGCACCTTATTGAAGGTTTGGGTGGTAAAGACAAATGGAAATATGAATATGTTCATCCTACCGATGATGAAAATTATAAAATGAAAGACAAAATAAAGAAAAAGGAATTGATGGAAATTCGAACAAATTTAGAAAATGAATTTGAATTTATCACTAGAAAGTTGATAGAAGGTCCTGATAATGATCAAATCATTAAAGAGAGGGATCAATTAAAACTTAAATTAAGAAGAGCTCAATTAGATTTAGATCCTTATACTCGACCTAAAACTTATTATCATCGTATCGGTGTACTTGATGATGAAAGGAATGTCAATTGGGTTTATAATAATTAACATTTTTTCATTTATTATATTGCAATCATTTCATTTATAATCAATTTTTTTTTAAATATTTTATTCATACCGTGTAATATTTATTTTAAGATAACAAACTAATTAACTGGTTTATCCGAGATCATACAATGTCTTTTTTTTTTTTTTGTATATGCAAAAAAATTTATTGCTATTTTTTATAAACGAAAAGAAATAAAGAAATTTTATATAAACAGAAAATTAATCTAATTGAAATGTTAATATTTAACTAAAACCATCAAAGATTTTACAATCAATAGAAAGTATTAATAATTATTTGGTATAACGATTACTTCCACTGACAATTATTACATTAATGCAAGGAGTCAACTCCGACAACTACTTCATAAAAATTAATCCTTGCCTCCAAACAAAAATAATAAAAAAAAATATATATATATTTTATATTTATATTATATAATCTATAAAAAAAAAATTTTTTTTCGACGTTGAAACGTCAAGATTGTTCAATATAAGGAGAATTTGTCCGTTCAAAATTGTCATCGTTTGTATGAATTTTTAGCGTTCATTGGTCGAGGTTGATCGTACTCCAAAGTATCAGCAACGTAAAAACAAAGGTATGCTTTACGCCTACTTTGCAAAACTTCTTCAACGCTTGCACATTTCACCGCATGATCATCAAACAAGAACCACCTGTCCCGACTTTTACAATATACTGTATAATGACCCGTGTCAAGTCTGCCTTCGTGATTAACGACAGAAAGCAAATTGTAATTATAACTTGGCAAATCATCCAAGGTTCCACCTTTTTCAAGGATATCATGACCACGACTAGTCCATTTTGCCATATCGATTTCTTCGGGAAATTCAAATTCTGCCTCATTTTTAATCGTATTCGTTGAAGTACGATGGAATCGTTCAACGACGAACGTCAAAACTGGAGGCAACTTCTTACAAGTGGTCGTCCTTGAACATGAATTTATGATTTCATCAGATAGGACGTGACCATTTGACAATCGAGTTTCACAATCTTCACATTTATATTCAGGGAGTTGCTCCTTCTCACAATATCTATCAAGACAGTCTTCGAGGCTGTTCTTGTCGACATCCATCTCATTGACATTAGATTCTTGCGAAGCTTTGGTACCGTTCTTCTTTTTCTGATTGGTGACAAGGCCGCGAAGATGTAACTGCCAATCCACCATATGTTCTTCCCGATCTGAGAACATGCCACATTGAGAGCACTTTCTTCTATATTGAAAGCAACCACCAAAAGTTTTGTGCATAATGCACTCACAATATTGAATGTTGGCGTTTAATCCCTGATGTTTGGTCTCATGAGAGTCACCGTGCATCTTTTCAATGGCGGCCAAGTAAAACTCATGAGCATCTTGTTCGGAGTAGCCGGCGAGATGCTTAGAGCTAAGCCACATCGATTGTAAAAAGCTACACGGAGGATATGGCTTCTTCTCTCCCGAATGAAACTCTTGAAAGAGGTTGTCGATTTCACAACACATACATCCTGAGGTTCCACATATCTTCATGTTATGCTTATCCGTCATGAAGTAGTTTTTGATTATCGGGTTATTCATGAACGTCTGTAATACGGCGTTCATGAAACATGTCGCACCCATGTTAAGTAGACCTCTCAAGCCCGAGCAAGGAAAGGGGGATGAATTCCTTTCGATCTTTTTTGCCTCCTCATCATTTGGTTTCCAAGGTATGTACCGCGCTCGTTTTCGGGCGGGTTCCTTGATATCGGACACTCTCTCTTCAGCTCGAACCTCTTCATGTTTCCTGACATTGTCGTAGTCATTGTCATATATATAATCATTGCATTTGAAACAAAATATTTCTAACCTTCGCACATCCGTCGCAAAGATATGACCGGAATTTTTGTAATGTAAACGGGCATGATATTTGTCACGCCAGCAACCGATGAAAACGCAATCAAGACATGCGTGTAATCGATTTCCCTTGAGATTGCAAGCTGAACATTTTTGGTGCTTGAACAACTGGGTCCCTATACTCGTCTTGTTTGATTTGGGAATACCAAATTTGTACCATCGCATTGATAGCTCTGCAATGGATCTGAAGTTGTTCAGATACGTATCGGGGTTTTTCTCTTTATACTCTTTTAGATGTGTACACCCAACTTTCAGTGACAATTTTGGTTGTGCGTTGGAGACCTGATAGGCCTCGATATCTTCGACTTTCCTTTTTACACCCTTTTTCACGAGTTTATTTTTCCCCTTTACGAGAGAAACATCATTCACGACCTGTTTCGACGGCTTTTGTTCATTCTTGGAGGTCGCTTTCACGTGAGTATCAACCACTTTTTTTTTGTTGGTAGCCGAACTTTGTTTCTTTGGCTTACTCTTTCGTTGTGTAGTTTTACTATTTCCTTTACTCGTCATAGCGTTAAAAAGAACAGGTTTAAGCGGGTACCGTAAACTTTATAGTTCCGGATTTTTGCTTTTTTTTTAAATGAATATTAAGAATAAATTAATTAAGTCGCACGTAGCTGTGAAACTACACAAAATTTGTTAGAACGAGTCACTTGGTTTTCGCATATAAAATTATAAAGTAAGGTTTAAAAAAAAAATTTACCTTAAGAACAGAATGAGATGGATAAAATATAAACAGTAATCTTACATTGCTTTTCGTTAAACCGTCGTAAGAAATGTCTCTTTTTCAGAAAAAAAAAGTATTTTTTTCAATAATAACTTTTAAGAATAAGATCTCGATAATTGAAAAATTATATCGGGGTAAAACTTAGTTAATTGGCTCAAAAGGCTTGTGGCTTGCTTTTTTTTTTTTTTAAAAAAAAAAAAAAAAAAAAAGAGAAGAGCAGCTGATCATAGTCAAAATCGGAGTTCGGAACGGAGATTTACTTTTTCTTGGCCAACTTTATGTTCCGTTTGATTAAATTTAAATCGAAAAGGTGGGTTATTTAATTAGATTGTCGGGGATTTTTAGAATGTCGGTGTGTTGTACATATACGTATACGTATACATATCAGCAAATTTAGTATTTATTGAAAGAGATTTGTATTGAAGAAATTACATTGTCTTCGAAATAGTGAAAAAAAGTTTTTTTAACATTTTATCGATTTGACACAACCTTTGATTTCTGATATCTCTAATTCGTTAAGAAAATCAATCGTGTTGCACTTATATAAAAAAGAAGATTCTTTTTTTAAACAAAAAAATTGATTTATTTTTAACATTAGAAAGAAAAAAGATAATCTAAAATTTTTTTTGAACTTCTTTTTTTTGATTGATCTTAAATTCTTTTTTAATCCCTTATTTTTTTATATTAATATAAATAAAATAAAATCATTTCATGCATCCTTGATAAAATAAATCTAAAATCGCTCGATCAACTCTAATTTATGCTTTGGGTTAGGTGCCGGTATATATTCCTAAATCATTCCAAATTTGACACATTCTTTGTAAATAACGAAGGTTTAAAGACAAGTTAATTGCATCATGGCTACAGAAAAAAACAAAATAAGCAAAACTAGCGTTTAATCTTGTTACATTTCCTGCAATCATAAAGCATCAAAAAAAAAAAAATTTTCAGCCTCGACCCGCTATTTTTAAAAACTTTGTCCTGAACTTGGTAAAAACGACCGGAGTCAGGCATGGGACCAACCTTTAACCTTATTATTATATAAAATTCGCGAGAGGAAAAAAAAAAAAAAAAAAATTTATTTATTTATTTATATATTTTTTTTTTTTTCGAATTTATTCTACGAAAATCTTAAATATGCCAAATTCAATGATCTCCAAGGGAAGATGTTCAACTTTGACATTTGAAACCTTTTCGTTCCAAATTATGTTGATACAAAATATAAATTTTTTGAAAGATGGAATCATATTATATGAGTCAATCTCTCTATTTTTGATCCCTTGAAATCGCCAAAAAGAATTTCTTTTTTAATGAATTCAGACCGCATACCATGTGACTGTTACATTCTCAATAAGGAATTCCGTATTCTTTATTAAAGGTAATATAAATATTCAAGGTAACCGATAAAAGTCCGACAGGTAAATAAAAAAAAACCAGATGACCATTTACCAAATTTCTAGAGAAAAAAAAAAAAATAGGCATTACCTATTACAATTATAAAAGATAATAATAACAATAAACTACTCACATTTCAATAGATAATAGTAAGATAATAGATATAAACTTTGCATCATAAATATACTTTTTAACCAAAAAATTTATTGTAAAAAGTGTATACATAATTTTTTTTTTCCCCCTTAAAGACGATATTTGATAATGCCAATGAATAACCTTTTATCAATACAAGATAATATGCCGTCCTCTTCTGAGGAAAATAATTGCGACTCCCCATATTCACCGGCGTCAGACGACTTTTCTGTGAATAACTTGTATAACCCTTCGACTTTACTGGATCCAAAACTAGAAGTACTAGACTCAAATACTTCTCTTTTCTTCATGACCCCTCAACAAACGCCTACAAGAGAACTTCAACCTTCGGTACAACAAGATCACCACGTTCACCAGTCCGTTTTCAACCCTGTGCCTATGACTGACCTTCAACAGCAATCTTTAAATAATGTTTGTATCTTCATATTATTTTTATTTTTTCCAAACTTTTTCACTCCTCTGACTCGGTTCAAATAAAACCTTTCCTTTTTTATTTCATACTATAGTTCATGTCCCCGACATTTACACAAGGTATAGCAAATTATACACAAAAAAACATGAGCTACCTCGAATATATGAATGGATCTGATGATAATAACATGTAAGTTACCTTTATTTTTTATCTTGCGATAAATGCTTTTTATTCAAAAAAATTAGGTTTTATCAATACTAAGTGTATAAAATACAACTCTTCAGAGAACCAAGTGTCACATCACCTCAGTCGGATCGGCATTGTCATATGCAGGATATCAGTGATAAAGGGTTGGGCTCTTTTTTTTTTTTTGTTGTTCAATTTGTATATTACGTAATCATTCATACTAATTTCTTAGTTGAAATTTAGATTACAGATTCACGTTCTCGGAGTCCCGCAGACTGGTGCCAAATCTCGTGTAGAAACACAAATCAAATTATGTCTACAGCTTGTCACGGATAAAGGAGAAAAAGTGCCATTATGGTCACATTTACGCTTGCCCGAATATATGGTTGCTAAAGAAAAACTCAAAACTAAAAACGCAAGGAATCCACCGGATCAAATGAATATCTCAGAAAAAGGTGTGCTAAATTTAGAAGCAACCGTGGTTTGCGCGAGCGAGATACCGAAAAAAGTACTTACTTGTCTGGGTTGTGTCCAACGAGAGGTAAGGTGTAATTCAACAATCATTATATATGTGTGTATAGATATTAAAAGGATTAAAAAAGAATAATGATAACATAATTCGTTATGCGTGAAATCTTTTTTTTTTTTATTCTACTTGCTTTCATGTGCACTTATTTTAAAATGATAGCGAAAGAGGTCTCAGCGTAAAAAAGAAAACAGGCACGCCAAGGCAAATTCGAACGCTGCTGCGCCACAAGTCGATGACGCCAATAAACCAATGGATTTAGACGATGAAAAGACGATGCAATTAGAACAACGCAAAATTCTATTATTCAATTGTAGTGAGATCGTTGATTTTAGTAGTGGTGACACTATTTTACCAACAAGAATCACGTGTTATTGTCGACATCATAATGAGAAAGTTGGGTTCTGGTGTGTATAATAAAGATTTTTCTTTTTTCAATTGCTAATTTTTCATATAATGACTCAATTAAAATTTTACTAACCATCTAATTTCATGTAGCATTTACTTTGTAATGAAAGATTATACTGATTCTATCATTGCAACTGGAATGTCACCTCCTATTATGATAACTGACGATCACAAGTCGTCAAAAACAAAAGTTGGTGTTGGAAGAAAACGACCAAGAGCTGAATATGATCGTAGAAATTCCACAACAGCGAACAATCCCATAAATTCTACAAAAAGCAAAGCCAACGAAAGGCATGCGTCTTCTTCATTATCAAACGGTACAAATGAGCAATCCACGCCGCCATCCTTATCAATAATACCTACTTCTGAACCTAATGGAGGACTTTCGTCTCCAGTTTCCATTATTCCCACACAAAATTCTAGCTTGATCGCATCGATTTCATCACAACAATCAACGATTAAGCATGAAAAAAACAATAATTCACGACAACGTTTACACGTTCAGCCTTCATTTGGATTCAATTCATCATCATCCCCCGCATCACCGATTTCACCAATGTCACCCATTATTCCTCAAAATTTACAAAATACCCCAAATACTCCAAATACATCTAGCCAACCCTATCAACAGCTTGATCAAAATACTAATTTGGCTACTTCAGGCCCACAAGTGAATTTTCCCGTGGTAGCCAATAATGCTGCTATGATGAACTTATCTATGGCACCCACATCACTTAACAACATGAATCCCATTTATCAAACGGCACAATTACATCAAAATCTCGGCGCTCCCAATCGATTTAATATCTCAGCCGCTCATCACGGTGGAGGCCCAATGCGCTTGCATGCTTCTCACCATCCTAACCAAATGCTAAGGAGGTCATTTTATAACACTTCTGGAAATTCCATTTATCAAAATGGTACGATCAACGGATACCCCATACCGAGGATGAGCAGGCTTATTCCTTCTGAGGGTCCCACTTATGGTGGCATTGAGGTGACCGTTTTAGGAAGCAACTTTTTTGGTTTGTATGAGAGGTTTTAATATATTTTAAATCATAATTTTAAAGGTTATTATTCACATCAATCATCCATTTTCTATTTTCTAGAGGGACTTACTTGTGTTTTCGGTGAAAATCCAGCAATTCCTACACAATATTGGTCCCCAAATACACTGGTTTGCATTTTACCACCAGCTCCAACACCGGGTACAGTCGTTGTGAGTTTTAAGGAATTTCCTATAAGCTTGATAGATAATCCGGAAGAAGTCGTCCTTTTCTCTTACACTGATGGTATTTTCTTATCCTACATATCGTAAAAGTTTATTTCTGGTGGTTTTATGAATAGTCTAATAATATAAAATTTCAATTTTTAGATTCTGATCGAGCTTTAATGGAGTTAGCGCTTCAAGTCGTAGGGATGAAGATGACCGGAAAGATAGAAGATGCACGCAACATTGCTATGCGCATCGTTGGCGGCAATGATAACAACAGTAATTCTGGTAATTCCAATGGCAATGGAAGTATGAATGGGATGCACAACCATTTGGCATCTTTTGCTCGTCAAGCAGGAGAAAATAATTTCGAAGCACATATTATAACAACAATAAGCTTATTAGATGTACTTGAAACAGAGCATGATAGTATTTCATTACAAAATCGTCAACAACATACGATGCTGCATATAGCGGCTATGTTGGGTTACACAAGATTATGCTCCGTGTTAATTGATCGAGGCATCGACTTGAACTTACAGGACAAATATGGCTTTACTGGTAGGCTTTTTTTTTTAATTTTAAATATATATTTAGTTTAAACGAAAAATCTTATGAAATTAGGTTAACCTTTAAATTTTTTCACTAGCACTTCATTACGCGGCATGGACAGGTAGAGAGGAGATTGTGAGAATACTTATCACAGGTTAGTCTTGGTTGGTTTTAATTGGTTATGTTTAAAACGAGATTTCTAATTGAATATTTCTAAAATGAATAGCTGGTTCTGGAGATATCATTCCCAATATCAACGATCAGTATGCTATTGATCTAGCCATATCTCGAAATTTCGATGAAATTGTTGCAATTATCAATGATCATCGTTTGCACGATTCTGGGGTATCGTTGTCATCATCATCCGAACAATCTTCAATATACGGATCTGATGATGATTGGGATGACAGTGATGATGAGAATAGGGAACAAACGGAAGAATCCATTAACGATAAACAAAATCATGAAACAACACCCAACATTTCTTGGGTAGATTCGGCGACCGCTAATGATTTATTACTAAACAAATCGGAAGAGGATGATGGAATCGTAAATGCAGAAGTGGTTGATAAGAAGAACATTAAACAACCTTTCTCTGAGATGGCCACCGATTTAGCTTCTGCTTCTACTATTTGGCTCCAAAAAACATTTGCGCACATGCATATGCCAACTATAGGCAAACCTTCTCAGATTAACATTCCTCTTCCCTACATTAAAATGCCTAATCTTCAAATGCCCAATTTACAAATGCCATACCTTCAAAACTTTTCTTCCCCAAAGTTTTCAACCATGAATTTTGGCACCAACTTATCAATTCCAAGACCTTCCATGCCATCAATGCCTTCACTTAACATGAATATTGAATTTCCAACTTTACCAATGGTAACTTTCCCCGCTATAATACCCAGTGGATTTACAAGTTTTGTAAGAGATGAAAAAAGCATGGCTAATGGAGGTGACATGAGTGAAATGAATATGGCACAATATTACAAGAATAAATGGCTTAGACAAGATCAACCTGTTCAACAAGAACAATCACCAAAAGAAGTTGGTCAAGGATTTGGTAGATTTGGTTATAGTTGGCCATTTTATGGATCGCAACCAGTTGTGCCAATGTATCATCACGAACCCGAAGAACCTCGTGCTCCATCACCATCACCGCCTGCTAATATTTCACGTGTAAGTCGCAAGGTTGGATATGATCTTAGTTCTTTGAATGATGAACAAATGGCTCGTGTGGAACATCATGATGAAAAATATAAAAGATTAAAGAAAGATAAAATGTTGTTTTTATTCTGGGTACCAGTATTTTTCGGTAAGTTCTTCGCTTTTGTCCATCTGTTCTTTATAAACTTACCAATTTATTCTAATCATTATATATTTTATTGCGATCTTTTAGTGATGATTGCCTTGGCAGTAATGAAATACAGTACAATAGGCATAACAGAACTTACATTATTAATACGAAATGTCGTATATGATATTGTTGGTTGGGTAAAATTTGATTAAATCAATATATAATTCTTTATTCGGCATAATTTCAGTGGTAGAAAGTTGTTTTATATTGATTATTTATTTATTTATTCCTTTTGATCGTGTAATTATAAATATTAGTTTCGATCTATATATATAATATACATACATACATTCATATATATATATTTGAATTTATTCTTTTTTTTTTCTTATATATATTTCAGGATTTTTTTTTTTTTTTTATATATTTTGAGATAAAATTTTTTTGGAAAAAAAAAAAAAAAATTGTTTTCAACACAAAATTATCAAGGTTAAAACCAAAATTCATTTCAATTAGTTTAATTAGTTTAATTCACTCTTAAAAAATCAAATGAAATAAACTCTTTCGTTGTAATATTTTTGTTAAATTGTAAAGTAAATTTTCTTGAAAGATCCGCTGTAAAATTAAAATTGTAATAGTTATTACACTCCAAAGTTTCACTAATTTGTAATGGAAGTTTGGGTTTGTTTAAAAGATCTGGAGAATTATTCCTTAATGCTAACTTTAAAAGAGACCATGCAATATCTCGTTTTATTTGATTCCAATCTCTCTTTTGTTATTTAAATTCAACATTTGATAAATTCCATTTGTTGGACAAAATATGCAATAGGATCATCATTTCCACAATTTTGAAATTTTGTATAAATAAACCCACTTTTCTACTCCCCCCGCAAATGCGGTGATTACTTCGTGTAAGTGAAGATGCAAGTGGTTTGGTTCCCTTCAGTACAATCTTAATCGGGTGGGGTGTTGTAGCAGAAATTTACCCATATGACCAAACCAATCATCAATGCTCACTCACCCTTGTTTTGATTTTTTATCTTTTCAGAATAATGCCGAAGATAGTATCAAGTTCAACCGTATCATCATCGGAACAAGTTCATGCATACCCTGAACAACATCTTCACGTTTATTATTGTTTATGTAGCGAATTTATATTGGTTATAGGTAAATAATATTTATTTATTTATCACGTCGTCAAATGATTTTCACATTGCTCTTTCGTTCTAATGAAAAGAAAAAAAAAAAACACTTGATAATTAAGATGCGAGATTAGAAAAGTTGCCTAGACGTAAAACGGATAATGCTTATATAGTCTCCAATGGTAAGAGAGTATATAAATTAAATGCGGTTGAAGCAACAAATCCGGTTATTCTAAAAAGGTGAGTTGTTTTTGAAATATGAAAAAAATTTTTTTTTTCATATTGAATCGGTAACAATTATTGGCATTTGAATACAAATTAGATCCGATGGATATGAAAAACAATATAGATTACATTGTCCAAGATGTAATTTATTCTTGGCCTATGAAGTGACGGAAGAACGTAAGAAGGGACCTCATACTTACATTGTTGAGGGTAGTTTAACAGAGAATCAAGGTGTCGTCCCTCATGGCGCCATTCCGGAAGATTAATTTTTTAAAAAATGTTCTTTTGAACCAATGGGATTGATGGGATTGAGAAAGTCACGTGACATACATCAAATTCACGTGTATAAACATGTTTTGGATATGAGCGATCATTGTTGCCAAAATATTAAATTTTCCCACCACACTTTTGTTTTTCGAAATGAATTAAATAAAAAAAAAAAAAGTTTGCTTTTTTGATTCCATTCCCTCTCTTTTAAAAAAAAAAGATTCGTTAAAAAAAATTAAATTTTTTTTTCACGCGGAACAATAAATATAAAAAAAAAAAAAAAAAAAACACGAAAGTGTCATCCCACTGCGCCACGATAAAGTGTGATATTCACGATCAAAAGATGGAACCGGATACGGGTACGCCAGGTTCTGTAAGACATGAATCCAATCCAACCACGCCTATACAACAAACAAACACAAAAACAGAAGTTAATGAACGTGAAATTATCATTGGTAATAAATATTATGTAAAATTATCCGATCATATGGATTCCGAAAGGGAAATTAAACATCGCATTGGGGAGATTTTAGCGAATCGAACCAATTCTGAAGGAAATCAAGAATATTACATTCATTTTCTCGATTTTAATAAAAGACTTGATGAATGGGTATCAGAAGATCGTATTGATGTTCAAAGGGACGTGATTATTGAGAGACCAAAATTTACGACACCAAAAAAATCCTTGACAACGAATTTATCTTTGGACGTTAGTAAAGTTTTAACAACACCTCCGACTTGTACTTCATCATATGATTTCTCGACGCCACCACCACCATTACCAACACCACCACCACCACCATCATCATCATCGGCAACGATAACGGAATATGATTCTCCCGGAAGTATCACGAGTATAACACCATCATTCATGATGAATGAGGATTCGAAAGGGGAGGCGGTTGGAGCTATGAGTTGCGGACAAAATAAGAGGAGGGTTAAAAATTTACAAGAAATTCATTTTGGAGAATATCATATCGAGACTTGGTATTTTTCACCGTATCCCGAAGAGTTTAATGATTCACCTATAATTTATATTTGTGAATTTTGTTTAAGTTATTTCATAAGTGAATTTCAATTACGTCGTCATATTAAAAAATGTAATATAATGCATCCACCGGGAAATGAAATTTATAGAGATGAAGAAATTTCATTCTTTGAAATTGATGGGGCTCGACAGCAAACTTATTGTCAAAATTTATGTTTATTATCAAAATTATTCTTGGATCATAAAAGTCTCTCTTATGATCTATTACCTTTCCTTTTCTATATCATGTGTAAACAAGATCAATATGGGTATCATATCGTTGGATATTTTTCAAAGGAAAAAAATTACACGTTAAATAACTTGGCATGCATCTTAACCCTTCCACCTTATCAACGTAAAGGTTACGGTAGATTATTGATCTCTTTTTCATATGAATTATCAAAAATCGAGGGTCGGATTGGATCTCCCGAAAGACCCTTATCAGATCTGGGATTGTTGTCTTACCAACAATATTGGTATGAAACCATTCTAGAAGTTTTATGGGACACAAAAGAAATCGGAGAGGATTTTATTACCATAGATGAGATTACTGCTAAAACGAGCATAACTCAATCCGACATACTTTTCACTTTATACGAATCTGGTATTTGTGTTTATCAAGGACAAGTTTGTATTAGATTAACTGAGGCCATGTTAGATACAAGTTTAAATTCCATATCTAGAAAACGGAGGATCAATATTGAAAACTTAAAATGGTCCCCTCCTCATTTCACTGCGAATCAACTTAGATATAAAAATTAATTTGGAAGTTTAGATATTTTTTTTTTTTTTATCTTGAAACTTTTAAAATAAAATAAAATAAAAAAATTCCCCCCTCTCTTGTTTAACATTGACGAACCTATTAATTGAATATTTTATCTTATTTCTAAAATTAAAATATAATTCAAGTGAAAAAAGAAAAGTAATAATAACTCATTAAATATTTTCTCTTTTAGTCTTCTCCTGCTGGTACTTCTTCCTCAAGATATTTAACTAATTTCACCCTCATTTCCGTTTGGTCATCACCACGTATCACGTCGCTTATAAAATTTGCCTCAACTTGCATTTGTACCATCTCCAACGATCCTCTTAATACCCCACACAATATATTTGAATACCATAATTCATCTGCTGCCCCATCTTCTGGTAATTCTACAAATTCTGCTAATGGGTTTTCTTCAAAAATTAACGAAAATTCTTTGTTATTTGATGACCAATTTGTTACCGTTGGTGTAATATTTAAAAAGATTTTAAATCCAATCTAATAAATAAGATTTCTTTTTTAATTAAGAAGTGATATATAGATAAATAAATTATCTTTCCTATGTACTTATATCATATATGTACCTTAGAAATTACTTCAGCTGTCTCACGAAAATCTGTACAACGTCCTAGACTTGCTCTGGCAAGGAAATCTTCGATTAATCGAACTCCCATATTATATCCCCTGATAAAAAAAAAAAAAAAAAAAAAAAAAATTTTCTTTTGAAAAAAAAAAAAATCATAAAATCATTAATAAAAATAAAATGATGATAATTTTAAAGTACATTTTTTCCAACTGCTTATTCACTTCTTGATAATCCTCATAATCCTTAACGAGCTGAGCTACAATTGAACCATAAGTCAAGGTAAACAGTTCAGCGTTCTAAGTGAAAGTTACCTTTATTAGTAGTAACTATTTAAAAAAAGAAAATTATATACACATATATATATATATATATTTTACCCCAAAACACTTACAATTTTCTCTACACGATTCTTCCATATTTCTTCGCCTATTTGTTTATATTGTTTGCTCATGATTTTAATTAAGTTAAAAAAGGGGGGGTGTGTGGAGAGGAAATTTTATGAATTTATGAAAACTTTAAATAATGGTAATAAATTTTTTATTCGGGTCCGTAGCACAATTGATATCCGTGATACGTATGAGATGATGATTAAAGGAAATGGTACATTTACATAAAATTTTTTTTTGTTAAAGAAAAAAGGAATCCAAAAAAACAAATCATAAAATATAGAAATTGGATTTGTTAGAACTGTTAAATGAGGATAAGAAAATAAATTACATGATTCGAATTTGTTATACAGATTGAAAAATGGTGTTTCTATTATAACTTATGAATACTTATTCTTAAAAAAAATTTTTTGCATTATAAAACTATTATTTGTAAAATACCCCGAAAAGAAGTATCGCCCTTAATTAGTATAAGGATACTATTCTTGCAAAATTCTGATCTTTTTAAAAAGTACCTGATACTAATTAAGATGGCTATTTAAAAATATTTTCAATTATACTGCTTAACAAATTTTTAGAAAATGTAAATGTTTGATTATGTAAAAATTATATTTATTAAATGATTATAAGAAAAATATTTTTTAAAATCACTAATCATCCCATACATTAGCATAATTCATTTCTTATTCATTATAACAATATTCTCTTCAATATTTTTTTTTTAACCTTTATTATCTATTTCTATCCTATCATCCAATTGACTTGAATTCCATCATGTTTATTAGAAATGTCATAACATTTAAAAATTAAATTAGCATTAATAGCATTCCATCCAGTTTACTATAATTTCATAAAAAGGTCTTTTAATATTACTAGCAGATGTTAATTTTTTTACAGAATCAGCCATCCAATTATTATAATTATGTCACATCTATAAAATAAGATAGAAAAATAAAAATAATTATTTTAAAAATTAATATATATAAAATTTCTTATAAAATTAATAAGATATGCAAAAAATAAGTCTAAAACTAATAATAATTATAAATTTGAAAGTCTTACATACTTAATCCAAATGTTTTTGATCCAATAAAGCATTTCATTTTCATTCATCCATCCAGTTGAATTGGCTTAAACAATAACTTTTTGTGAAAAATTACTTTATAAATTTTTTTAAGTTTGAAAACTACAAGAAAAGAAAGTTTAGTTCTATTAATAATATAAGTTAAAATTATTGTAAAATTAGTTTTTCATATTCTATTATATGAATGCTAATAGATCATGTTCTGTTTCATCAATAGTAATATTACCTAGCTATACTTGTTACCCATACTATATTGGTATAGATAAAATTTCAATCCCATTCCAAATCTCATTCTTTAAACTAAAACTTTAACAAACAATATTATCATAATTAATAATAATAATTTAATGATATTTAGTTCATTAATTTCATCTCTATAAACAGATTCAAATAATCATAATTTTATTTTTGTATATAAGATATTGATTAAAATATACTTAAAATATATTATAAATTAAATAGAATTTAAGATTTAGAATTGGGATTTCAGATATGAAATATAGGATTTTAAATATAGTATAAAATTTGAAATAGGATAGGATTTTATAGTATAAGGTATAGGTAGCAATTATATATCTAACAGATTAAATGTTATTAAAATTTACCAATTAATGTTAAAGAATATTCATATTAAATGTGTTTATATATAATAAATACTAAAAATTTCTATTATTTTCAATTAAATCTTCTAGTAAACATTATATAATAATAGTATAATAATAATTACTTAAATTATTATAATTCATTAAATCATCTATCTACTTGTTATTAAAAGCAAAAGATTAAATATTAGAATATGTGATTTATCATTAACTTTGTTATATAAATGCTTTGCTTTTCATCTATATCATACTTTATATAACTATTTATTAATTATTTCTTCTTTCTTTTATTCATTTAACTTCCATAATATAGTATTTAAAGTAAATCTTTATTTAACCATTTTAAATCTAATTGAGTTTAAAAGTTATGATTTTTTTAAATATTTAGTCTCAAAATTATTTTATTTTAATATTAAATTTAACTGCAGTCTTATTTTTACTATACCCATTTTTATGATATAAAATAACTGCTATTTTTCACATATATTCTATTATTTTTATATTTTTCTATTATAGTTGAATAATTTATTCTTTTATTTAAATTAAAAAAAGTTAAAATAATAAATTTAAGTTATATAAGTTATAAAAGTTGAAAAAATAAAATACAAAAAAAAAATAATAAATAAAAAAGATATATATCTTATTTAATAATGATAATTATTTAATCAATTAAATTATAAATTATTAAATATAGAAAATGAATATTTTAAAATTTATTTTTAAATAGTTTTAGTATTAGATTTTATTAACTTTAATAATAATATTATTTAATATTAAAAAAAATATAAAGTTTTTTAAATATTTAAATAAAATATTAAGTCATTTTTTTTTTATTTTTTAAAAAGAATTATTATTTCAAATTTTTAAAACTTAAATACTAAGAAAAAAATTTTTTAATTTATAATAAATTATCTAATTATACTAATTAGTATATCCCAAAAATAATATTTATACTAATCTGATTTTTTGATTAAGAATAGAATACTATATGCAGTACTAGAATCCTGAACATTTATAATATAACTCATATTTTAGTTTTTGCAAATTTGTTTAAATTTAATTCAAAGTCACAATTTAAGTTTAAGCAAATCAATTTAAATTTGACTTAAAGTCGTATTTTTAGATTTTAGCAAATTTGTTAGATTTTTACAAAGTCATTAGACAAAATTATGCTTTTTATAATAATATTATTTAAATTTTTTTTTGATAAAAAAATACATCTTTATTAATAAAACATTTTTGCATAACTATTTTTTTCCAATTATAAAGAGCGTTTAGTTAAAAATAAATTTTGTAAAACTATTATAAATGAATGTATAGTATTTGCATATGTAATCAAAAAGTAATATTTGATAAAAATTATGATAAGTCAAGGCTTAATGAACATTTAAACAATTCAAGATATAAATTAAATAATAAAAAATAATAACTTGATTTATTGGGTTTGTTTTTTGTTATTCCTAAAAAAGCAAAAAATATACCTTTAGACTTAGATTCAGAATCTCTACTATCGCTATTAATAGAAACTTTAAAATTAAATATATTATATCTTACAAATATTCACATATATTAATTGATACTAATTTTGTACAGAGATGCATGCTAATGAAAGAATATTAAAAAAGAATTTTTTTCAGATAAATTTTCATACAGAATGTAGAGGTCGGAACCGGTTATCGATATCGGATTTATAACCGGTTTTTATCGTATCGGATTAAAACCGGTTCAGAATTT